AACAACCATTTGGGCCTATATTCTTGGTTGTGAGCCCTCTTATCTTCCTTTCATCTACTTAGGTGTCCTGGTTGGTGCAAACAAGAATCTCAAGAGAAAATGGAAACCGATCATTGAAAGATTCCAAGAAAAACTCTCTATTTGGAAGGACAAAAACCTGTTTTTTGGAGGATGTCTAACACCGATTCAATTGGTGTTAGGCAATCTCCCAACCTGTTATTATTCTCTTTTTGTTGCTTTTGCAGGTGTGGTCTCCTAGATGGAAAATATGTGACAAAGATTTTTATGGGGCGGTACGAAAGACATTAGGAAGATCAACTGGGTGTCATGGAGTAAGATAACTACAACTAAGGAGAATAGAGGTCTTGGGGTCAGTCCAAATAGTGATCTGAATATTGTTGCCACATGCAAGTGGTGGTGGAGACTAAAGGTTGAGAAAGACTTGTTGTGGAACAAAGTAGTTACAAGCATACATAACTTGGATACTAGAGCAACATAAAATTTGTCTAATAATTCCATATCGGATGTGTGGAACAATATAGCCAGAGTTTAGAGTGATTTGGTCAAAAGAGATATCCCGATGAGTGTATTCATTAAAAGAACAGTCAACTCCGGAGATGAAATTTATTTTGGAGCGATGACATGTTAGGAAATGGATCACTCAAACTTATGTTTCTTGAGCTCTATATCCTCGAACGGAAAAAGAAATGCAAGATCTCTGATCAAATATACGATGAAGGATTTTCTTGGTCTTGTTCACATCAATCGCTTCCACAGCAAGTCATTAGAATTATACAAACTATTGGGTTAATTTGTCTAAATTCAAACAAAGACTAACGGACTTGTGGTTTGCATCAAGTGGCTATTTCTTTGTTGATGCGTGTAGGTGTCGGTTGAAAATGACTTTAAGTGGGGTGGGTAGTTACTCTTTTATTTGGTTAAAAGAATTTGGGCTAGACGTTTAAGGTATAATAATTATAATTTTACATTTTCTCGAATAATTAAAATCGTTAATTAAAATAACTGTTCTTCATATGTGTTATGAAATAATAAATAATTATTGTGTACACATTAAGTGACCAAATATTAGGAGTATAAAATATTTGTAGAAAAACTTGAATATAGAATTCATCGTTAAACGATAAAATAAACATTAAAAATTAAAGATTATTTTAGATAAATAATCTTAACGAAAGTTGTAGTAGTCATGACAGTGATCTTCTGGATATAAAGAACGCTCAAATCTGACTTTGTATGAGGAAGTTATCTAAGTTTCGCGTTCAAACCAATAAGACAAGATGCGTCCTAAAAAGTGAACCGGAGATTGGTTGCTTTTTAGCCTAAGTGATCTAAAAAAAATTCGTAGTGCTCATCAATAGGAACTTATAGATATAATGAACGCCAAAATCTGACTTCGTATGAGGAAATTATGATTTTCAAAGTTTTGAGTACGACATTGTATAATAGTGTGCGACGCATAAATGGAAATTAAAATTGGTTGATTTTTAGCTAGAACAATGTAAACAAGAGTTGAAGATATCGTAAATACGAATTCATCGATATAAAGACAGTCGAGAACGGAACTCGTATGTGAAGTATATAAGGGACACTTGGTCCCTAAGTTTCGAAACATAACCGAAATATGTTCAGATTTGCGAAATTGAAATAAAATGAGAATTAGCCAACATAGTATAAATGAATGTTTTAGTAATCTTCAATATGAGACCGAAGATATAAAGAACATCAGAAACGGATGTCGTATATAGAAGTTATGATTTTCACAGCGTTATTTACAATCCAAGCCTTCTCAGATAGCGAAACGAAAAATAAATTGAGATCTAGATGACAGTGTCTAAACGAAAGTTATAGTACTCATCGATAGTTACACGTGGATATAAAGATCGTAAAAAATGGAGTCCGTATGAGAAAGTTATGACTTTTAGAAGAAAATTAAATTCAGACCGTTCAGATTTTGACATGTGTCACCACCGGATCTATGCCACTTGTTGAATGCAAATAAAACCCTTCCTCCCCAAGCTGAGCAACGTGGATGCACCCAAAGCTGCCAAGTGGGCAGGGCGTGGCGTGCCTAGACACAACGCGTCTTTCATATTTGCCTATAAATACTTCTGATTTCTTGCAATTTTGTTTCCCAATTCACTCCGAATCACTCCCAAACTCTCTCGTTTTCTGAAGGATCATTCTTGGGACTTCATAGGTGTTAGTAGCAAAGTTCTAGAGCGGCAGAGAGCCCATAGAAATAGAGGATTCAATTTCGAAGTTATGCTCGCGTAATGTCCAATTTTTCGTCAAACAACGTGTAAGTTGAGTTATGCTTCCCGTGGTTTAAGTATAACTTATATTTATGTTTATAATCATGGCTATGCACTTATAAATAAGATCTATCAGTATTACTCGTCGTTATACTGACCGATCTACTTACGAGAATGACGACAAGGTAAGATTAGTAAGGTGTTTAAAGTGGATTTTCCAAACAGTATATCTTTATATGTCAAACGGATCCTACCTACAATATTATCTTACCTGGTTCTTTCTTACCATCTATACAACAATGTTTTGTTTGGGATTATTGATAAATCTGATAAAACTTATAATGATTAAATTTTATAAATACCAACAAATACTAAGGCATAGTAATGTTCGTGTTTAGGACCTTTTAAAATGGAATCTGAAGTGTGAGTCAAAGATCTGACTTTGTCATGAGTCTTCTGGCTATATCAAACGAGTACATAAATACTTTCAAGAACATGATCTTAATACAAAGTAATTAAACGTATTAATTATCTGTTGAAAGTTTGTTGGTGAATTAATTGCTGGAATATTTGTTAAATGTATATTTGATAACATATAATGAGTGAACTAGATATAGTTAAAATACGTGTTAAATGATTATATGGTATTATTACATGATAATCTTAGGAAAATAATACTTAAAAAGAGTAATGTGTATTAAATACCTGATGCTTTGTGTTAAATATATACCCTGAATTATGACAGTATTGTCTGAATAGGGTTAGTATTGAAATATTGATTTCAAGGATAATAGTCTCTTCTCGTTTTAAACTAAGACGTATGAAGAATTTTTTAGATCCTGTTAAGTTGGATAAAAGTGTAGTCCTATATTGTATTGCGATAATATGGTATAAACCGGAAAATGGTTTGGAAATCCATTATAAGCATTATACTCCTAACTGGTAATAAAAATAAGATTTATAAAAGATGCTTAGTTCGAGTAAAATTAAAAACAGTTTTCAGTTACACCGTGTAATGTAAAAATATTACATAGACATAAAATTGTGTTGATTACAGGCTTTGCAATCATGTCTAGTTATAAACTAGGAATTAAAGGGAATGCCTAATTCAATTAAGTTTAGATATTAGGTAGTTTAATATTAGGATGTGTGTAAGATTGAAACAAAAAGTAGAGCTCTGTTTCACAGGTGCTACTTGTGTCGGGGTACTATTATGTGCCAAAAAGTACTATTGTCTACAAACTCTTTTTTCGACACTATTACGTATCAGAGTATGAGAGCGTACCAGAGTACTATATTAGTATCCCCATCATCCTCTTTTGATGAGATCCGTGTGTCAGTGTTACCCTTTTCATGATGATCGGATGAGCTTCGTAACTCTGACCACTATTACATATGTCTAAGTCATCTAATTGACTGTAGGATAGAGTGTGTTAGAGGGCCACTGCTAGGCAAGTCTAAGCCATCTAAAGGGTGTTGATGGTCATCCCTGACTTAAATGTCTTGTGGTGTTAATGAATTATACCAACCCAAGGAGACTGTATTGTATGTTCATTTGAGTATTCCATTCCCCTCAGTGATGTCTTCATTGATCCTAGTTTGTTGCCAAGGAAATCTCGAAGCAGCAGAGTCAACTTGTTGCTTATAGTGATCTCTCAGGATAGACTCCATAGAATCAATGTTATAGGATCAGTATGTGAGGATCGACGAGATGGGTAACTAAGGATATATGGTCTTACATTATATCTAGGTTATATGATATTGTTTGGTAATAGTTGGTTTTGCAGTTTTGAGAATTATAATATATTATCACAATAATATTGTGGGATTAAAACCCTATGTGTCTCACCAAGTTTCCCAATCTGACCCACTCCATTTACAAGCATCACATGTAATGATATTAAAACTGTTGGAGACTTGAATAGGATGTTGAGAGATTAAAGAGAAGACCTGCAATAGTGTTCAAGATCGTAGGTCTTTACGATGCAGCTATGTTGTGTATTGATTATGATATTTTTTAGATTTTTGTATCTTGAAAGAACATGTTTATTCAAAGATATTTTTAATAAAACGAAATAGTTTCTGCAAAATGTTTTATTATATTGAGATTTTCGGCAAAAAAAGATGTTATGTTTATTCAAAGCGTAAAGATATTTTTTTTGTTTGTTTATGGAAAATAGGAGATATCACATATTCAAAACCGCATGCCATCCGCCTTGGCTCTCAAACATCGTGGCATCAATATAGCTTCGGTGACTTGCGGTGAATGTAACATGGAAGATGAATCAACTCACCACCTACTATGTGGGTGTTCATTCGCTAGAGTCATTTGGGAGTGGATTTTTAGATGGTGTGGTATATCGGTGCCTCATTTTGATTAAACTAGTGAGGTGTTGCAGTTTGCTGCAGCCTGGAGAAATTACCCAAAGAAGAGAAAGGTGTTGGTGGATATTTGTTATGAAATGATTTGGAGACTGTAGAAAGCGAGAAACGAAAGAACCTTCAACACGGATTAGTCCTATAAAACCATAAGTATTAGTAATGGATTGAACACTTTCTTATTAAAATTGCTCAATAAATACACACTATACTTTTTTATAAAAAAATATTATATTGATCACCAACATCATTATGATCAATATACAAACATATACAATAACAGAAATACATATAGATAATCAGTTTTACTGTTATACTAAAACAAATAACAATTAAAATTAACAAATATGTATTACAAATTTACGATCTTCTCCAGATTTTAATAATTTCATAAAATTATCGAATAAACATCACTCAAGCACTTCCTGTGCTGTACAATTTGCCTCCCTTAGTTTTCGTTCATCCGAGAGCTGTTTAGCAAGCCTGGTTTCATAAAAAGAAAACATGCATCAAGAAAGTATACCATATCCAAGGGTAGCTATTATAATTTGGTAATGGAGTTGGAGTTGTACCTTTTCAATGCTTCACGGTTTGTACCACCATCCGGGAGAACTTCGAATACCCCTGTATCGGAATTCACCCGAGAAACCGGCTTATCTAGCAAACCTTTGCCAACATCGACCAAATTGTTCAAATTTTGAGTTGTCGCAACATCCACCGAGGCCAAGTCTCCGGTCAATGTTTCGTCCTAATTTTGCAATAGGAGCATACAAAAAGTTGAAGCGGTAAATTGATACGACTTTTAATGATTGAAGTATAATATTGGTATTGAATTTGTATCGTACAACCCATCCATGCATGTCCATGGTTACAAATTAGTGCATGTTTATGATTCGTGAACCTTTATCGTTTATACCTACGAGTTATTTAAAGCTACAAATATTTAAAGCTTAATTTCATGTAACGATCTATTCGTTATAAAACACAATTTTTCTAAAGAATGCTATACAAAATTAAGCAATTAGAATTATATGTTCACAAAATATCATTATATTATTATAATATAATGATATTTTATGAAAAATAATAAATAATTTGCTACTTATTTATAGTACTGTTTTAGAATAAAGATGTTTTATTAAAAAACATTTATGAAATCCACACAATATTTAAAGGTCTTTAAGATGTTCTTTGTCAAGTTGTACCGTATAACCCATCAATTATACATGTTTGAAATGAGGTACCTGAATTCGGAGATAATTGTCGGTGGAATTGAGGGCTTCAAAGACAACATTGTTATGAAAAACGACCAAATCGGCACTCGCTTGCTGGAAAGAATCTATCAATGGGGCCGAACCGTTATTGACCATCCACCCAAGCACACCCCATTTCGCAGCCATTTTCGCATCATATTTAGGTGCTTGCTTCTCGGTTCCAGTCCCTAACGATATCACGAGATATCTCCCATAATCGAGAGGTGAGATTGGGATAAAATTTGGATCTTCTTTCATAACTTGCCTTGTCACTTCCCCTATCGCAACCAATGACTGCCAATCCAGAAAAAAAAATGTTTAGGTGCACTTCAGGAACTAATAATATACATTTGTACATCAGTTATTTGTTGTACTTTTACAGTTTAGCTTTTTGCTAGCTTTAATAAAATTATCGCCAATCTAGGAAAACTGTTTTTCATTTTGCATGAAATATATATATTATCTCTTCATAAAGAGTAGTATTTTTTTCTGAATGGGAGGATAGTGATTGAAATGTAAAATTCGATACAAGTAGTTCGAGTGTGAACTCTGACACGTTCAAAATATTAATAGACAGTTTTTTCCTCCTACCATTATAAGGGGGAATCAAGAACCAAATCCTTATTTACTACACACCTTTTTTAGGGTGTATAACTCGGTTCCTAGAGTAATATGCTCTTAAGCTAATGGCTGCAAACTTGCATTGTACTACCAGAAATGGTGCATAGTAGAACAAATAGCACTCTTCTGAGTTCGGACTTTAGATTAATTAGAGCCGCACCATCGTCTTTGACTTTTTATAGCCAATATAATACAGCACTACTATTATAAGCTATCAATAATTGCATTCTATAACTATTACAAGAGCAAATAACGTTCAAGGCTCTGAGAAGACGAAATTCAAAAATTCATCAGGCAAATTGTTTCGTTTTCAAATTTTGAAAATCTTTGTGAATTTCTTAATTTTCTATAAATATTTTTTTATTCTTAAAACTTAATATAGCTTTTATTGTGATTTTATAGTGACTTTAATGATTTTTAATTTAAAATCGTTTGTTTAAATTTTTTGAAGTATTCCTTATATTATACCTAGTTAACTTCGTTTATTGGTTTTAAATATTCAAAAATTCCGTCAACTTCTAATAATTAATATAAACGTTGCATATTAGAAAACTTATACAAATATTAATTCAACTATAGTGTTATTTATAATTTGTAATTTAAAAATATTTAAGTTCTCCCTTTGACAATGTTCTTTTTTTTAAGGGCATTATTTTTATTCAAAGTAAGAGCTAGAAGATTATAAGAAAAGAAAAGTAAAGGGTTTTGTAACCACCAAGTTATAATATATGTAATTTTCTATTTATGCTAGAAAACCACAAAAACAAATAATCTAAAATAAAATCAATAATGCACCCATTACGATAAGCCGTATTTCCAAAAGCCAAATCATTTCAAAACTTCCAAAGCAATGTTCAAAAAAGCAGTTCGAATCGGCCAGTTGTATTGGACCAAGGAAGGAAACGGTTCAACTAACACTTATTTTGTGTCTATTTTTGAACCGGAAGAACGGCCGTTTTTTATAAAATCCAGTTAAACCGGTTAAATTAAATTAAAACACGTGTAATTGACACATTTTACATAACAAATTTTAATTGACGGTCTTTTTCAAATCAGTTGCATATTCATTGTTTGCGATTCAAGAAAGTGAATACGAGAATCCTTTATATATGAGATAATTAGTTGACTTAATATCTAATGCTCATCTTGGTCAACTTTGTAGACACTCAAAATGACAGAACTCCTTTGTATTAGATCTTTAATAAGTTTTTCTCTTTTAACTTATGTCGTGGTTTTGTAACAAAAAAAATGATAAATGCTAAAAAGTTTTTTTTTGATGCATTGTATTTTTCTAAAACTATATTATGTTTGGCTATTTTATGTTTTTTTTTATTGTGTATATGCATGCAGGAAAAAAAATATGATAATTTTGAAAGGTTGGTTGACCAACGGTCGAACCAGCTGAATCGAAAATCAGCAACTGTTTCAACTAAAAACCCAGTTTTTAAAACATTGCCCTTTTTTGTTAGGATAATGTTGAGTTGAAAAAAAAATCAAATGAGGATCCTTATGAACTCATGGACCGATCTAGACTATATCGTGCATTTTTCCAAACCTCAGATCGGTCCAGGTTTTCTTCAAACCGCCCTCAAGTGGTATCTCTATCAGGGATGGTTCCACTATGGTGCCCTTAGTGACACCGGCAACCCCTTATTTTTTCGGATACATTGTAAAAATTTTTGAATTTTTCGTTTTTTCTACATACATTTATGCCACTACGTAAAAGGAAAAATGTGCCACCGGCAACACCTACTACGAAATCCTGGGTCCGTCCCCGATCTCTATTAAACAAGATGCATGGACAATAGTTGTAGTTAACTTGTAATTAGTTGGTTAATTACCGGGTTATTAGCCGCAACTCCACCATCAATAAGGTTAAACTCACGATCACCGTTCTGAAAGTAATGGGCAGGGAGATACGTAGGTGCTGCAGACGTACCCATGCAAATATCTGATAATAACGCATCTGTGGTAGGCTCTCTTGGCACCTTCAAATCACCATTTGTAATAACTCTCAAGTTAATAAACTCCATCATAAGAGATTATATTTACTGATTTAGCAAAAACACAAACCTGATATGAACTAAACACCACAGGTTGCATATCCCTTATGTCAAAAGTAGGTATGACAACGTTAGTCAATGTCTGACTCAGCTTCGTGGTTCCTAGTAAGCCTGTTAGGAGGGTTTTAAGATACTTTCCATTGTACTTTGGCCCTACCAACGCCTTCAACAGCTTTATAATCCCAGCAAATGGCCCTCTAAATTTACCAAAAAACATACAGAATTTTAAAAAGTCGTTTAGAGAGGGATCATACGATCATAGACGTATGCATGTACATGTAACATGATACATGATGTTACCCGATTTGTTTGAAAATCTTAGGGGTATTTTCAAGATAAAATGGAACGATGTCTTTAGCAGCATAAAAAGGTTTGTTGTATTCGTCTGGAGCCGTAAGCATGACTGTTATTAGAGCACCTGTGCTTGTTCCAGCAATGACGTCAAAGTAATCCACTAATCTTGCTTCATCTCCGTCTAACTCCTGCATGTATATATATACATGTTATTAATTGATTAAGCCCAAAAAACCACGTGTAAAAGTATATAATTCCCATGAGTAATTGAATATGTATGTGGGAGTTATGTATATATACCTGAAGCTGTGATTCGAGATATTCGAGAATGACACCAGGGATGATACCTCTGATGCCTCCGCCATCGATAGAAAGAACAGTTATGAGATTTCCAGTATTTGGAGGCCGGTTTCTAATGGAGGTTGTTGTTGTTGTGATTTCGGTTGTCATCTTGTAATCGTAATACAAACACTACAATGATTAGACGAACTTTGAGGTTGTATTTATATATGAGGGTTGTTAGTCTATCTATTTGTACATTCAAATGCCCTTTGTTGATAATGGATGGGACATGATCACTTGTGCTACAACATATATAATATCTAATTTGATATTTACACGTTAAGGAACACCGGTAATTAATCTCTAAGTATTTTTATAAAATTTAAATATTTTTTTAGTTATATAAAAAATTGAAGGTTTGAATTTATGACGAGAGATCAAAATATATATATATATATATATATATATATATATATATATATATATATATATATATATATATATATATATATATATAGGGCTAGGTTATAATGTGGATGAACAACTATTGTGTGGACGTGTGGACAATGCTATTTTATGAAAATTACTAAGAAAATATGTTGTTTAATAATATGAATATGTTCAATTTCACAAAACTATTGTTATTTTAATGGATTGTCACCAATTCTAATTCATTTTTGTTTTCATTCATCGTTTTTTATTTATTTTAATTCTTACAGAATACGACTCAATAAACATCCTGATAACATTATGACAGAATGAGAATAATTAAAAAAAGTGTATAATAACCTTATAAACGATTTAATTAGTAAAAATGCTTAATAATTAAAATAATTATATAAGATTGAACGTATTCATATTATCAAACAACATAATTTCTTTGTAATTTTCACAGAATAACATTATCTACATGTCCATACAATAGATGTCAATCCACATTTGAATATATATATATATCTCTCTCTCTCTCTCTGTCTCTCTCTCTCTCTCTCTCTCTCTATATATATATATATATATATATATATATATATATATATATATATATATATATATATATATATAAAGTTATCTATTATTCATTCATTAGGAATACAATAAAATATCTACAATATTGAGTGTTATATATAGGGTTTTTTATAGTTTTTGTTACTAAATAAATATCTTAAAACATTTAGTAAATTAATCATAGTAATTTAAAGACGAAGGAATGTAAATAGAGTGCAAACAATAAGAAGTAAGAACATATTTGACTGTTTCATAGTTGACTTTTATCAAGTTTTAATTGAATCTCTTTGTAAGTTTACAATTATTTAAATAGAAGAGGGAAAACTTGAAATATGTATAGAAAAATATTGCACGAGGATTGATTCATGCTCACAATTCACAAATATTTGTTACAAAATAAGCAATAACTTATTGTCCTGAAAAAGTCTAAGTCAACTTTGAAGAAAGAATGTTCATCCGCAAATTCTTTTAGTTTCTTTATTTGCAATTGAAAGCAGCCTCCTATTACAGTCAGACGACTGGTTTCGTTTTGGATGCTTGCGTATGAAACTTGTAAGTATAAAAAATTCAAGGTTTTTAACAAGTCTGAATTTCTTTCGTAATACGTTAATTAATCTAATACAAAAATATAAACCTTAAGATGAAAATCTTCAATTAGTTCATAAATGTATTGGTCGTTGAAAATTTACGAGATATGTATGGTTGTAAACGAACGGATCGAACACGAACAAAGTTTGTTTGTTTAAGTTAAAGGGACAAACGAATAAACACGAACAGATAAACAAACGAAAGTTTTTACTCTTGTTCGTTCGTTTAGCAAATTATATTGTTCGTGTTTATGTACGTATGTTCGTTAAGGTGTTAAACGAACATAAACGAATAGGCCGATCATCTTGGGCCTTCTTCTCATGAATAAAACCCGTCATACAAGCGAACGCAACAAAAAACCTCAGAAACAAGGAATTAGTCAATTTACTAAATTTAGAACCCGACGAGTGACTTCAAGAAAACCTAGGCCCCTTATATGCATATCAATAAATCTCCAAATCTTCAATAAATTGAACAGATTAAATTAAAATAAGAATTCGAGGTCGCAAAGAACTGAGAGTCTAGCTTCTCACTAGCATCCCAAACCTCATTAAAGTATCTCATTATAACAATTACTCTTTCAACACAATTGATCAACTCGAGAATAGACAACCAAAGAGAGCGCTTCTCACATAACAATTGTGGGGTGTACAGAGTCACAATCAACGCCTCCATCTAAGTCTGAACCTAGACAACTTGAACAACAACTAACCAATCCTTGATAATCACACACTCACTTCATATCATCTCACGATCCCAAACAACCAAAATAATCCCCCCCCCCTCTTCTCCTGAAAGCCCTTAGAGAATATACAAAATCGAAGGAAGAATTGTCCAAATCTATCTGTCTAAAACCTAGTCCAACACCTCCATTTTTGTTTCATACACACCCAGAAAGTTAGGACGACTTTTATGACACAAACCTCTAACCCATGAATGTTTATCTCGGCTCCACGCTCCTTGGATATTAATCGAGAAGCAAATCATCGATGTATCGAACTCTATCCCTTCCTAACAATCATTGCTTTCAACACCCTTTAACACCCTTCCATGGAATATGTAACAAACGAGAAAAGTAGGTCATCGTTCACCGCTCTCAGTCACCGTGAACACCCTGTAATATACCTAATGTATTGTATTACATCATCTTCTTGCAAATAAAGTTTTCATACCTAGAATTGAATACAGAATACACTTTTTATCTCCGATGAACGTTGATCGTTAACGAACAAAACACTATTCATAATATATAACTATTTAATTAATGCATTGAAAAAAAAAAGATTTATGTGTTATGTATACTTATGAAAAAATAATAAACAACAGATAGTGCCTAAGAATACGATTCCGTGGATATAAAAAACGAAGATCGTTTGTTAAAGTTACGCCCTTTTTAAGAAAACAAATAAGTTATATAACTGAGTTTTCCGTAAATAAACGTTGAATCGATTCGTTGGGTTAGCTATGCATCTCGTAAAGTATTTCTGAGCGCGTTTTTGGACTCAGAGTATACCCAATTATTTGATTCCATTATCGGAATATTTTTAGCACAAAGTTATAGTCGTTTTACGAAATCAGTTAACTGAATAATAACTCCAATTGCGTTTTTAGCATAGTTAAATCTTTCGTTCGGAAATTTCGATCACATATTTGAACCAACATGTTCGGGAGATCTGACTGACATACTCGAAAAAAATTATAATGTAGTCGTTCTTCATCGAGATTTGACACGTGGTTCGCAAACCCGACACGTCTCGCGTTCGTAACGAAGAGACTTGGCTCATTGTGAAAGTGATAAGTGTCAAACTCTCATGGTTTCTTAATATCTATAAATAGGAGGTGATATCCATCTCTCCCTACACCATTCTCTCTCCTTCTTTCTATCTATAGTTCCACCACTCCACCACCACTCCACCATCGTGTCGCCGACTTAGGCTACCACCGGAGTGGTACCGTTCAGCTAGCCAACTGCTTTCACCACCTCTCCAGCAACTCCCATACCTTCGACCATCATAGATCCGACGAAAAATCAGCTCTGACAACCAAGAACCACCGCAACGTCGTTGTCCGCCGCCAGCTGCCATCGTCGACCACCACCAACAACCACCAAAATCAACGAGAAAGTTCTCCTCCACCTCATCCTTGATCAGAGCCAGTTGTCCCGACCTCAATCCGCCACCGGAAAACCACTTTTCCGATCATCTTTTTGTTCAACGGCAAATTTTTTGGAAAACTTTTTGCTAGCCTTCGGGCAGTTTTCCGACAAATCCGAATAGTTTTTCCAGTCGCTTTTGCCCAATCTACAACCCTAGAGTGTCTTTTTGTGAAAATGAGGTGCCGTTCATGAAATCTACAGTCGCGGTTCGAATCCCAGTTTCCGATCCGAACTGTTTTTTGACGAATCTGAATAGTTTTTCCGACTCGCTTTTGCCCGATCTACAACTCTGGCGTGGCGTTTTGTGAAAACGAGGTGACATTCGTGAAATCCCGAGTAGAAGTTTGAATATCGGTTTCCGATCCGAACAACACAACGATAAAGCACGCAACGAAAGTGAGTTTCACGACCCCATTTTAAGGTTTTAACGCTTTCGGAAGAGAATACGTGCAAATACTTGTTATGATTTTATATAAACGTTTGATTTTTGATGTAAATGTTTTTATAAAAATGGTTATATATTGTTGATAAAACTATTTATTAAAAAACAAACACAATAATTTTTGTTCAAATCATATACTTTATTTTGATGTTTATTAGTAAAATAAACGTTATATATTATAGACTATGATTACGAATGATTAAAACATTAAGATTTTATAGTTTACAATATGCTAAATTAGTTTTTGTTTTATTAAAAACAATAATTACACATCTATTTAGGCTTGTTCGTATATTTGGTATTGTTGGTTTTACATTTGTTATTTCGTTCGATATATAGTTGTTATACTGCTCAAATTTCGTTAGAATTATATGCATGGTTAACCCGTTTTCCAGATTGGATCAGTAGATGGTATAAAGGAGCCAAAGGCTTGGTTTTTGAGGAAAATCATATGTCATGACGTGGCATGAAGGGCGTCACAACGTAGCATGACAATTAAGATCGCGTGTCCGGGATGACTGTCATGACCTGGCACATAGAGTGTTATAACATGACCGCAAATGCAGTCCTTAATATGAACCTAGGGCATCCTTCTCAACCTCCAACCTCTTTCAATAAAACCCTAGCCCCATTTCATGTTTGTCATCTTATTTGATTTATTAGAGGCCTTGTTCTTGGCTTTTAGTGAAACTTGAAGAATAAGGAAGTTCAGTGTGGTGCAAGGAAGCAATTAGCTAGCTTGGATCCCTCATTCCCTTCAGATTTTAGATTAGAGGTACAAATTCACATCTTGATCCTTGTTCTTCTTGTTTCAAGTTTTAGCTAGTTTAGATGTTCCATTATTGCTCTTGGAGTTTGACGAACTCCAGAGCTTGTTGTGACTCTCAAATGATCCTTAGGTTTCTCGTAATGAGAAAAGATTCATGTTTGGAGCTATTTTGGGTCCATGAGCATGTTAGGGTCATATTAAGGACTTAATGGACTTAGGGTTGTACATCTAGCTTTGGGATGGAGTCCTAATGGATAAAGTTGGAAACTTTATCCAGTAAGTTGGTGAAAGGAACTAGATCTGAGGTTATGGGC